GTCTCGGGGATGGAAAATTAGTTTGTTAGTGGTCCCCGGGGCGGATAGGTCCCAGTCTCCACGACACAACGCGTTCTCAGATTGCGGATAGAGGAAGGGAATGTTTGTCCTATATAGGGACGGAGGATAGTTGCGAATAAATTGATTATGCAGTCGCGGACAGCCGATTGGAAGTAGCCTTCATATTTAGAGGTTGGGAGTACCCACATAACATAAAAACTCTCTAAAATCTTTCTAAAACATTTCTTAGAAAGCTTTAAGTCTTTCAAAAAGGTTTCTAAAAAATATTTCTACAAGGTGAAAATGTCCTCGTTCAGAAACTTGCAAAAGATTTCTAAAAAGGTTTTTGAAAGATTTTTAAAAATCTTTTCACTATATTTTGCGAAAGGTTTCTAGAAAACATTTTTGAAATTTTTTCAAAAAAGACAATTGAGAGCTTCTTCAGCCAGGACTCACCGATCAAATCCTTCTCACGAATGACCGAATTTTTTTTTCGTGGCGTTGTAAGACTGCGGAACATATTTCGAAACAGACCCTCCAATCTCGGCTGAGCCCCTTGTGTGGGATTCGTGATAAAAATTGGACCGCTGACTGACTGGACCGACGGGATTCGGAACCACGGATCTTTCGCTTCCCGGCGCGACTGCTCTTTAACCAATTAAGCTATTCAGGGTTACCGATAAGTACTTCTTACGAATGCCTCATAAGTTTGGCATGGAGGCGCTCGTCCTACAGAAGGTTTTTGGAAGATTTTATGAAACCTTATCGTCATGTTTTGTTAAGGCCGGCGATACAAGTAAAATAAAAAAAAAAATCAAATTTTTTTTTTTCATAAATAGTTTAATATCTCAAAAATATATCCGTAAATTTTTAGAATGAAATTCGCATTATGTATCGATTAAAAATTCATTTAAGGGCTCCGCCTCAACTCGGCGCTAGACGCGAACGCTAAACTTTGAACGCGTTTTTCTCAAAACGACTTTTTTGAAAATCACGAGCAAGATAACTCAAAAAGTTCTCAACCGATTCTTATGAACTTTAGCACACATTTTCTTTATAGTATTAGCTTCTAGTTAAATTTTAAGAGTGCCACCAAAATTTTCAAAAATTGCAATTTTTGACCCAAAAATCGTTAAAAAAAAGGGTCAAAAATCAGACTCTTTGTGTCTGAGTCGTGCCAATTTACAATTTTTTGACTTTTTAGTTTTTCCTTAGTTCAACTAAAAGATACATGTATTATAAAAACGCTCCGACCCTTTTTTTAATTTTAGAGTTCTGTAACTAAAGTTAAAAATTACCATGATTGATGCGCTTCGCCGCGAGGGCCTCAGGAGTTTGGTTATTACAGCGGCCATTTTGAAAAAAAAAATTTTTTTAAAATCAGATTCTTATATTTTAATATGTAATAAATAAACATGCTAAGTTTCCAAACGCTTTATTTATTCCTTCCATTTTAAATAAGCCTCTGAAAAACGGTCAAAATTTAGGCGTTTACATGTATCGCCGGCCTTAAGGGGACACGTCACCTTCGAGTGTAGAAAAAAAGCGGTTTTTTTGTGAATTTTTTTTGCAGCCAGTTTTATTATTATCGATACAAATTTTTGGTATAAGTGAGTTATATATCTGAACTATATTCACAATTTTTTTTGTTAAAAAATATTGTAAATTGTGTTGTCTATGGCCACTTTTTTAAGAATMAAAAAAAAAGGTGGTTTTCGGTTGCCCTAACTGACAAAAATTGGCTCATCTGAAACAAAAAAACCGAGTGCTATCCTTTAGTAAAGATGTTGACGCAGGAAATGAACAGAAGGAAATTTTGATTTTTTAATTTTTCTCAAAAAAGTCGACTTTTTATGAAAAAAATTGACATTTTTGCAGAAAAATCGCCGAGTTTTCGTAAAAAAAAATTTTTATTTTATCGACAAATCCTTTCGTTCATTCCCTAGATACGTGTATCTAGTATTACTGTACAAAATTTGGTAAGGATCGGATAATTGGTATGGACGCAGCGAGGGCAACCGTTTTAAAAACTCGAATATGCCACATGCTTTCCGCATAAAATAATCAGCCATGTTTTTCGCTCCCACGTATATAATCTGGAGAAGCGACTGATAAGTATTTTGACTTAAAAATTTCGGTAAATCCATCAACGCTCAAAACTTATCCACGCCTCTCATGCCAATTCCGAGTACACGCATTACTAATATGAAGCGTTGATTAACTTCATAGCTTTTTCCGATCATTGCACAAGATGGTATGTAGTCAGTAGTATTGCACAGTTCACAAGTCAGAGCGATGTTAAAGCCCAATCCGCGTTCTTTCGCAACTTCAAAAACAACTTTTGAACTACACTTTGCACACCTAACAAGTTTCAAAAGTGCTGAAAAAACCGTAAAAAGGTTAATAATTCGATGTATAGTCATATCACTTTTTGGCACTTCAAAATCTTTTTGTGTTTTTAATTTCTTTTGCCGACGCACTAACTTTACTTGAATCACTAGCGCGCAGTGGCTCGTATACCTGATCTGGCCGCGCTACAGCGCGCTTCGCTTAAAACTACTACAGTTTCGTAAATAATGCGCGGATCGTTACTAAAATTTRAGGGATTATTTTTGTAATAGTATTCTTTCAAAATTTTGAAAAAAAAAAATCGATTTTTTTTGTTGACGTGTCCCCTTAAAGGTTTCTATAAATATGTTTAAAATGTTTTGGACATATTTTTCATAATATTTTTACAAACTTTTTTGAAATATTGTGTGAAATCTTTTCAAAAGGTTTCTGCAAGGTTTTATTGTAATTTTTTTTCATCAAGGTTTTGCGAAACATTATATTTTTTTGAAATAGTTCAGAAATGTTTTCAGAAAATATCGCAAAAGATTTCAAGAAAGTTTTTAAAAATGTTTTGAGAAATTATTATTTAAAAGATTACTACAAGATTTAAAACACATTTTGAAAAAATAATTTTTTAAAACGGTTGAAAACCTTTCTGCAACATTTCATGAATTATTTTGGTAATATTCTTAAAAACATCCTTGAAATATTTTTATAAAATCTTTTTGCAAGGTTTCTGCAAGGTTTCATAGAAATATTTTTAAACATTTTAATTACTCTATGGGTAAAATATTTTAGAAATGTTTTAAAAATATTTTTGTAAAATCTTTTATGAATCATTTTCAAAATATTTTAGAAAGATGCCTGCAAGGTTTCTGAAAGATTTTTTGGAAATATTTTATGAAAACTTTCGCTGAAAAATTTCAAAACCTTTCGTGTTATGTGGGTAGGTATGAGATGCCCACTCCGTAAAACGACTTTATCAAGCAGCAAAAAATACCGCCGTGGATTCTACTGGGATATAATTTTTAGGAGATAAACTAGTCCCCCATTCGGATCTCCGGGTGGGGACTACCTTAGGGAACTCATGTTGGATAAAGTCGAAAAACGGGAGAGATTACAAGGTAGGTACGTAGAACGTGTGAAGCAAAAGACAAAGTTATTTTGGAAAATCAACATAATATTTATTTAGTCTAATAGATTAATAATTGATTTAATGCGTAATATACGACGTCTCTCATTCCAAGAAATCAGAAACCAGTTTTATGTAAGATTATAAAACGCCCTTTTAAACTCAATGGATAATATTATTTATCTTSAACGAAGAAAACAAGTATCATGATAAGATCAATTGCAAACTGTAATATTCAACTCGTGACTTACGCGTTAACTTACGAGCAAATAGAAAAACACCTTTTCAATTTTTAAAATACTTTTATTTGTTCTTCATGATTTTTGTAGAATACCACATTCGAAACCACTTGCACATCGTATTTGCAATAATAATAATGAATTATTATCAGTTATTATGAGTAAAGTAGTCGCCGAGATAAGACATTTTTCTTGTAAATACTATCTTTAAAATATAGAAAAACAAAATTTAGCATTGATTTTCATGCATACCAAGACAAAAAAAATTTTTGTTTAGATTATCGAAATCTACCTTTTTAAAAATTTTAATGCAATTTTTTACTTTACAATCAGTGTACTATTTTCTAACAATCTATTTACAAATTATATTTTCTTTTTCATTACGTAAGTTACATTTTACTTTATTAACTTTAGACTTTTTTCTAAAATTTTCTTTTTCATTTATATTATTTTCTTCATTATTCTACTAGTTTCTTTTTTTTTTTTTTGGACTTTTTACTATTTCTTATAAAATTTTCTTTTTATTATATTCTGTTCTTTATTATTGAAAGCATATTAATGATTTTATATTATTTAACTACTTACATTGCACAAATGGTGTTTTACCTGCTCCTCGTAATAAACATTTTCTGAGAATCGAGCTGCACACATGGTGTGCAATCAACTTGTTTGTGCGAATTCACTTACGATTCGAGGGATTTCCATAGTAAGCCAATATTTTTATTAAAAATGAACAATTTAAAGAAAAAAAATTGCTCCTGGGAACTGTGTTCGAAAAAAGTTGTGGTCTTGAATGGTATACTTAGTTGATAAATGATCAAATAGTAAAACTTTTGCTTTTATTTCACAGATTTCTTATTGTCCATTTCTGCTACAAGTGTGACAATACAAGCAAATATTTGAATAGTACCTCCCCAGCAAGGAAATAATTATCGGCAATCGTATAAGTTGCAATGCCAATCGCAAAAAAGCCATTGTGACGTGCAGGAGGGTTCAAAATTACCAGCCTTGTCTCATTTAATTTACACCTGTAATCTCTACTACCAGATAAGCGGTTCTGGTAATATATTTTGTGATCGAGAAGGAAATTGGTCAAATATTCCAGTTTGTATTGGTAAAAATAGGAACTTTAGTTTTATTACGACAATTATTTACTTTTTAATTATTTTCTTAATGATTCTTATATTATTTTAGGAATTCGTTAAAAATCATTGGCTTCAGCATTAATGGACGCTGACTGTACATTAAATGGTCAACGGGTATCTTGCAAATCTTCTGTGATGTCTGGAACAATCTTATTGTTAAATTGTAGCCAGAATTATCAGAAATATAGAAATTTTTAATCTAAACAAGAAGATCAAATTATATGTAGCAATGCATGTCATAGAAAAGCACAACGATTACGATGTTCTTTACATTCTTCTTCGCCTAGCACTTTGCATCTACTACGAAACGAATCGAAGGATAGAGAACTTAAATAAGTATTTCGTGGCAACTGGAAACATTTATCGTGATTATGAATTTGACTTCGGTGATGAGACATTCGTTAAAAAGGCCAAAGTATGGAAACTAGGAAATAATTTTTATTAACATAAAATCAAATATTTCAATCGGAAATTGTGTTTAGGCTAGTAATACATTAATTACAGAAAAAGTTGATAATATATTTTTTTTTCAGTTAAAGACATTGACGCTCCTTATAGTTCTGTGGACTACAAAGAAAATCAAACTAATGACATTGGAAATCTTGGAAATCGAAAGGCCATTTGTATTGTCATTTTGGTTAGTACCAGCTAGCGTGTTTAAATTGTAATTTATTTGAGTCTGGAATATGGTTAGTTTCAGGATTTGGAAGAACCACTGAAGGATAATGCAGTTTTTTTCTGCAATCAGTATCATTGCCCTATGTTCCTCGTGATCAATGCAAATCTTCAAAAAACCGTGTTGAAGCTACAAAGTTTATAGCGATGGATAAATTTTGTGCTAGCTAAACGAATGGCTTCTAACGAATCAAAATTAATAAAGGAAAATGAACATATTCAAATGCTTTACCTTGCAATTATTATTTCTATTGTAAAGTAACTGTCATTTTTTTTCATAAAAATTGACCGTTGTAGAATACCTGAGTGCCATTGCCATACTGAATTTAAGGGAGGGGTTAGGGTTTAGCGTAAAAAAAAATAACTTTTATTGGGATTTTTTTTTCAAGTATAGTTTGAGATATTTTATTCGAACCTTTTGTACATTATTAAGCATACTTTTGACAATGTTGTATAATTTTATCATGCAGAAATATTAAAGCATAAGCCGGTAACAGAGCTTCCCCCAGAACGTCTTGGAAAAAAAACACTTTGCAGTTTTCACTATAACTCGGCCGGAAATTATCTGAAAATGAAAAACCATTTTAATTTAGTCAAATTATAATCAAATCTTCCCCCTAACGTTCTTGAATAATTTTTTTTTTATTTAAAAATTTTTGGTGGTCACCTAATGTGTTAACTGTTATTTTCCACGAAAAATTCCGCCATTTCGTGGGTGGGAAACACCCTTAATGTAAAAAAGAAATTTTAACTAATCGTTGGGGGAAGGTATTTTATATGTAGAAAATGTGTACAAAATTTGAAATGAATCGGTCTAGTAGTTTTTTAATGGCAGTGAACACGGTCTTTAAAAAAGTAGTTTTGTGAAAAACGCGTTCAAAGTTTATGAACTAGAAAAGTGAGCAAAAAAATTATTTTTTCAAACTTACACAGAATCATCGATTCCAGCTCACTACAGTAGACTTCCTGCGGCATTGTCGATGTCTTCAGCCTCTTTTCAACGTCTTCTGGTACACTTTCACTGGTATTTAGCTTGATTTTCTTCGATGAAGCTTTTTTGTGGTAACTTCATCTTTAATTATTTTATTCGGATTAAACCTTTTTCTTGATCTACACAAATAAGTCCTTTTACTTTGTCGGTCTTCTCTCGAAACTTTGCTTACTCACGGCATTTTTGTACAGAAAATTTTTTGAGAAAATTCTAAAATGACAAGCGCACGGTCGAACGTACAACGACAAACTGACGCTCGTTTCTTGCTTTAAATTATTGTAGTGTATAGTATACATACAAATATAAAATATATCTTTATGGCTTTAGTTACCTGCCTTTACTAAATAAAATATTTCTAAAACTAGATAATGGGTTAGGACAATAGCAATGAATAAACTGTATACCTGTTCGACAGCTGCACTGCTATCCCGAACGCCCATAGCTGTTAGAGTTATAGCGTTAAAGGCCAGGAGATTAATAAGACAATAACTTCAAGAATATTGCTTAGATCGGCTTAAAATTTTAAGGACATATTCTTAAAATGTTAAACAATAAGATAAAACAAAAAAATTCGATTTTTCGAAAGTAAAAACCCTAACCCGCCCCTTAAAAACCGTTTAATTTTTTTGTTTTAGATCAACTGTTCTCAAATTTCGATGCCCGCCAACAGTATACCTACTTTTTAAGAGTTTACGTTTGTCAGCCATTTTAAATGTCAAAATATGTTAAAAACAATAAAAAAAATTTTTTTCTCGTAGCTCCAGAGTGTATTTATCATACCCAACAACTTTCATATGTGTATGCATCTTACTAAGCCTAAAAAAAAATCGTGAAAATAGCCCTTTTTTATAGTATAAACCAGAATGAACCCTTAATAATATTTAAAATAATACATGTGTAATGAGATATAATTATCAGAAACTGATATGCATAACCTTTTTGTATTATTTATTATTGGCACGATAAGTAAAATCATACTACTCAGGCACTATTAATAATCACAAAGATGGGTGATCAGTCAGGAGAAACAAAAAACAGAAACCTGTAACTGTTGATCTGATCTTCAGATTGACGGAACAAAAGATTTTTTAACTGCCTCTTTACAGAAAAATTTTGGTAAAAACGTAATAAGGAGTTTAAAATCATAAATAATTTTGAATAAACAACAAATTTTTGTCTTTATGTTGCTATATATCTTTATGTTGTTATATATTTTTATTGCTTAGCATAAAAAATCACATTACTGGTATTTCTCATGCACGTGTAGTATTTTTTACGAGTAAAAATTACGCATAATCTCAAGTAAATATCCTGAAGATTTCGTATTTATTATCGTTCTGAAGAAATATAACTATCCAATCCATAGAAATTCATAGTTGTTTGGATTTTATCCCCAGAAGTTATACTGTTTGTAAATTTATTAGATCAATAAAACTTGTAAGCGGTAATATAGCCATTCAGTAAAAAACTAAGTTTTATATCCTGCAAACCGATTTGATGTAACAAAGTAACTGGACTAATAGGTAGGAGTTATAAGTCCGTATTCAATTTCAATCATAAGTCTGATTTCCGTTTTCATTTATAAGTTTAAATCTAATATTAATTAACATGTTCCGGGCTACGACAATATTTGAAGATTTTTTATTCAGGCTTTGTAGGGTATATACGAATCAAACTTTAAAGATGTTAATTTCTGATAGCTACTGAAAAATACAGTTAACTATAATTCCATATAAAATCTACTTCAGGTATAGAGTAAATATTTCGCGTTTTGCTCATTTTCTTAGGCTCATTAAGGTTCATTCTGATTTATACGCCGAAAAAAAGGCTACTTTCACGATTTTTTTTAGGCTTTGTAGGATACATATACATATGAAAGTTGTTGGGTATGATAAATACACTCTAGAAGTACAAGAAAAAAATGTTTTTTTATTGTTTTTAACTTTTTTTGACATTCAAAATGGCTGACAAACGTGAACCCGTTAAAAGTAGGTATGCTGTTGGCGGGCATCAAAATTTGAGAACGTGTGATCTAAAACAAAAAAATTAAACGGTTATCAATTAAGTATGACAATGGCTATCGGGTATGCTAAAACTATCAATTTTTATGAAAACAAACTAAAATGACGGCCATTTTTCGAAAAATAAAAAAATCAACGATTTTTTTCGCAGTTTTTTGTAAAAAAAAAAATAGTAAAAATTAATATTTTGACTTGGTTGTAGCATGCGAGATAGCCATTCATGTGTAGAGTATGTGGTTAAAATTTCAGAAGGATCGGTTGAGTAGTTAGTTAAATTTTTAAAAAGTCTGACTTTACCTTATTCTGCGATGCCTGCACCATATAGTATGCCTTCTGCTTCTTCAAAATACTCATCTTCTTCCACTCTAGCCTTTTTTCGTTGTGTCCTGGCTTCTATCAAAGCTTCTCCGCTCAAACGATTGGCTGAGCACACGCGCGTGTTGCCGCGGTTACTAGCGTAGTTGACTGCGATAGGGCCAAGTTTTATCACCAAAACGTGCATTATTTTCAGTATTGGATCAAAACCTTCGTTGAAGATACAAACTGCTAATTTAAAAGCTATTTCAACAATTTTATTTACCATTAAATAGGTGTTTAGGCACCATAGCCCAAACGCATTTATTCTTGCACTCATTATTATTTTTAATGTGTGGCCACCTAAACATCTTTCAAGTAATTCTGTTTTTGTCAGGTCAATATCAATGTTTTGTTTTTTGCTGCAATATTCATGCAGAGACATTTCCACTTACACCATCGCAGATGGTTTGTCTCCTCTATCTGTAATATCTCTATGTGTTTAAGTCGCAAAATAATATACTTAGACTGCTCGGATCGTTCTAAAACTTTTGTATGATAATTCTACATATGTCTACTTTCGAAAAATGCAAAAAAAAAAAAATTAATTTTTTCAAAATGATAAACCAGAATGAATCCTTAATATGAAAAAGTATATTTTTCTATTTGTAATCTTATTAAATTACAAATTCGTATTCGTCAGGAGTTCTTAGTCATTTCTGCAATCGCCTATCCTTTTACAGAGAAGATATAGTCGCTTTAGTGTCAATAACAGAAAGGATTTTTCCACCAAAATATTAACCTTCATATAAAAATATTATATGTTTATTAACATTTTTTTTAGTGCTAAGTCATTTATTCTTGTCTAACATTTCTCTTCTTCTTAATGTATTTTTTCTTATAGGTTTTTTGTTATCTTCACTTTCCACATAATCGGGTATGTCATAGCTAATATTTGTAACACTCTCAGATGAATACTGTAAAACTTTTTTCGTTTTTTTTCGTTTCGGTTAACGTGCTTTAAGTTCTTTAGCTCTTTCCTGTTCTTACTTATCTCTTTGCCTTTTCACAGCTCGCTTCTTTTTCAATCGTTCACTCTCTTCTTTCTTCTTCATCTTGTGGAAAAAATACTATTCAAACAGCTTCCCATCTTGTTTAGAATTGGAGGAGGTCCCATGTCTCTTTCTATAGGTGATTTACCTTCTCCCTTATATTTAAAAGTAATTTTTGACACGCCAAATTTTCGTGCAAATATTCTTATAGACATTTTTTGTAATGTAACATCTTCAATCACTGCCTCCCTCCCCTTGCTTTTTAAAAATAATTTCAGAAAGCATCCTTGATAGAAGGTATCTTCAGTTCAATAATATAATAATCTATAAATTTATTGCATATTTAAGTATACTTTACCATTTTCTTGATTTTTATTTACATAATAATGTAATGATATATGATAGTGAAAACTAAATGACGTCAATAATTAACCTCAGATTAAGGTAATAGTTGACCGTGTAGTTATCGACTAAAATACATTATACAATAAAATGTAACTGTTCTGTTATTCGTATCTAATAAAATTATGTGTAAAATAAATACAATATAATTAGTACATAAATTTGACTAATTGACCATGTATGTTAACTTCTAAAAACAATCAGAATGATACGATTCGGTAGTTGACCCCTCGGTTAATTAAATTTCTGATATTGGAATGCGAATACAATGTGTTTAATGAATATGAACTTTCATATAGCAATTAAAATAGTTAAAACTTTAGACATAAAGAGTCAAAAGTAAATAATAAACTACTTATCGTTAACTACGCACGTATTCTTAACGAAATCATTAAGAAAATTACAGTGTGGAGGAATACGACTGTCGTTACTGATATATTAATCATTCATAGTTACAATAAACAATCGTATCCCAACAAACGTACAATAGCATTCCATCATGCGATAAATGATGTACAATGCGGTAAATGACGTAGCTCATCTACCGAATTTTTTTCGAAAGGCCAGTATTTACAGAAAGTTTAATTTTCACGTTTTAGTAAAAAATGGTCAATTTGTGGCACATAGTCAACGACTGGTGTCTTCAATCTATGCCTTACATTTTTTCAATACTACAGTATAAAGTTTTAATTAGTAGGAAAGAATATATACATTTTAATATGCATGAGACAACAAAGCAATAAAATTTTAATTTTTAGGGAATTATTTTAAATTTAACAAAAATTTTTTATTTTACAATGAGAATTCCAAATAGCCTGAACGGAAAGTGCAGCGGGGCCGGGGGGTGTCCCACACGGCATGGAACATTTAAATAAGTCCGTATACTGTTTAGTACAATTAGTAAAACATTTATAACAATGATTAGTAACGTAATATAATAAATTTAAGATAAACGAATTTGAGAGTTAAAAGAGTGTTATTACTATCCACAACTAGAAATATTCTATTTGTATTGGTCGAATCAGAGCCAGAGACCTTTTCCTCAAGAAGCAGCAGAAAAAGGAAACCATCTTTTAATAATCTTAATTATCAACCTATCTCTTGTAATAAAATCCTAATAGATTTGATTCTCTTTAACTTCCCTGTTTTTTTTAGTTATTATATCCGAATCACATCACTTACAAAATCGCCCACAATTCTTTAGGTCATTCTCTGGTAAGGGCTTCACTGCTTGATCAAGAAGAGACCACGCTTTTTTTATTACTTCACAGGACGTAACACTAAACTCATATTCAAAATGTGCTCCTTTATCCTGTAAAAGTTCGCACCTCAGTCTGGGAGGTTCTAGTAGGGAGTTTCGATGTTCTAATATTCCTGTCTCCCAACCTTTCAAATCGATACTAAGTATTTCTGGATTTATTAGGACCTTGATAAAATTCTAGCTCTTTCTTAAAAGATTCACTCCATGCATGGGACTTCAAATGGTAACGCATCTGCCAGAAAATACTGTATCTAACCTTCAATTTCAATGTATAGTTATTAACTATAGTGTAAACAAAGTATTTTTTTATTGGTTCTGAAAATGTTTACTTTTGTGTTAAATAAAGTGTATTTGTGAAGAATTTTATTGCACTATTTTATTCAAAAGAAATTTTCAGCTGAAGCACACAGAATTTTTGTTGAGACTTATGGTAATAAAGATCTGTCGGATATGAAATCAAAGACTGGTCTCGACTCTTAAAAAATATTGATTTTTAACTTGTGGATAAAGAACATTCCTGTGCACCAAAGAAGTTTGAAGATAAAGAATTGAAGGAATTACTTGATTAGGATCAATGTCAAACGCTAGCAAAACTTGGAAAAACATTGCAAGTAGATTAGTTACCAGTTTTAAAATGCTTAAAACAGTTAGGAATGCCAGAACAGCGAGTTAGAACAGTTAGAACAGCGAGAACTTATTCAAGGTCCAAATATATAATATCATTTTTTCCTGATCCTTAAATCTTATCTCACCGACAGAAAATTTATAGTGAAGTAATAAAATTAACTAACAATACCTAATCTAATTTTATCCGGTGTTCCTTAAGACAGTGTTCTTGGACCCTTACTTTGTCCAATCTAGCCAGCGGACTTTACCTATCTCAGAGAAAAGTAACTACGCCTAAATTTCCGTACGACACAGCTCTGTTAGCATTGCAAACCGATCCTCAAAACGCGACTAAAATCCTCTAAGGTCATCTGTACGTGCTAGAAAAATGGTACCAAAAGTGGTAAATTAGTATAAATAAATAAAAACATGTGAGCAGGTCACACGTGTTAGAAGTGAAACCTTTAAAAATCTAAGTTTCGAGTGAATGAGACGAATGCACAGTTTCAAGAGTAAGATAATTGTAGGATTTATTTATTATAATATTATTGCCATATATAATAAAAGTCACCGGTATGGTTTCTGGGTGGAATAGCTGATAAAATGTACACTTTTCCAAATTCAAGCAATAAAAATCGTAACCCTTGCATAGCGGCCCGTCACTCCGTTGCCTATCCGTATACAGGCTCTGTTGCCTATTTGTATACAGGCTCCGTTGCTTCGCCATCTACCAGTTCGTTGCCTGAACCACCCATTTCCTTTCAAATCACTCCCTATTCTAGTTTACACTTCAATAAATCAGATCATAAACATCGATGCTTCACAATGCCTAAGCACACATTTTCCCCTGTGTTCATAAATGGGTCAATAATATAAACTAAAGATTTAATCAAATATTTAGGTATGCTACTAGATAAAATGCGAACATAGAAACAAAACATCCAATCCAATACAACTTATAGAGAGGAAAGAGTGAGAATCCCATATTGACTCATTAGCAGAGCTTTTAAATTAAGCCTAAAGCCTTAATTAAGCCTTGCTATATTTAAGATTTTCCTAAAACCTTTATTAACTTAGGAAATTCAACTATGAAGAACTGCTGATAACTCAAACATCGAAATTTTATAGAGATCCAATAAAAAAACAGCGAAAAATTTGCTATGCCTAAGTGTGTAATTAATTAAAGTATTTATGAAAATCAAAGAATACCTACAATAAAAAAAAGAAATTGTATTCTTCAGTGAAAGTTATAACTTCCATTTAACCAAACATTAAAACCCTATAGTAAAAAATTTGATGGAAAATACCAATATAGTACGAAGACAAGAAATGTTCTATTCTTTTTATTTAGAAACAAGATTTAGTCAATTGTTAATTTTGTTTGTTAACAGAGTTATGTATGTTTACACTTATCATTGTGATATCTTTTCTACTTATAATTCATATCAATTTACAACTTTAGCTTCAATTACTTATTATTTTCCCAGAAAATTGATTGTATTATCCTTTACTAATTAGAAAAAAAGCCATTAGTACCTTTCCCTTTTGCAATATTGTTTAATAGTATCATAAATTATAATACATGTATAAGTACCTTTAAAGTGTTATTTAGAACAAACACTTTTTGTCTATGATATTTATAAAACTAAAAAACAAGTCATTTTGAGTCAGAATAACATTCAAAGAAAGTTCTGTATCGTGTTTCTTCATAACGTGCATTAGGAATCGTTCCTTATAGTTGGTTTAAATAATTTACTTGCTTAAGTGTTTTATTTATTTTTGGATTATCTATGCAAATAAATCCATAAATAGGATTTATATTCATGCAGAAAATATAAGAGAAATAAACCAGAAAGAACATACGGAAATTAAAACCATATATATCTGAATAATTCAAGTTACAAGCATCTGTATAAATTTTAATTTTTTTGTCAGGCAATACTTTGACCAATAAAAAACGTTGTTGTGAACTCAATGTAAAATTGAAACGTCATGCTGCTATCTTTAAAAGAAACATCAGTAAATAGTTTACTTAGTAAACATTGTATTGGTTTTGGTATCCATTAACCTGTATTGTTGCATACCTATAACTTGATTTCTTTGTTTGGATGGAAAATTTACAACTTCCTGATGACCTTAACGGCAACTCAAAAATACAATTGTTTCAGGAAACACAGGAAATTCGCAAGATACACGTTGACCATTTCATTTACAATAAGCATCTGTTGATGCTGAAGCCAATAATTTGCAACTTATTTCTATAATGATGTATAAAACATTAAGGAAGTAAAAAAAATATTAAAGAAAAAAATCCGTAAAGATATTGGTATACTTCTAATTTTCATTACGTTTAAATTTTAAATCTTTCGATTATAGAATCTAGAATATTTTACCAATTTCTTTCTTGAACATAAAATACATCACCAGAACCTCTTCTTTCGTACTTCAGATTACAATTGTTAATCAAATGAGAATCTCTGACTAATTCTACAATTTCATTCACAGCATAGTTTTTTTGTTTTTAGCAATACCGCATGTGTAATAGATAATAACCATTCTTAGGATCCGGAGGCGCCGTACAAACAGTGAGATTTTGATTCGATAGGGAAAATGTTATAGTGTTTGATCACAATATGAAGAAAATGGTTAAGATGTTTCTTATTGGCAAAGTATATCCCTTACTCAGTTTATATGAGTAGATATACAAGTGTAAAGAGAATAGGAATGATAATCACAAATCGTTATAGCACTCATTATATTTTCACTAAGAGACAAACTAACAACACATCTTAGAAACCATAAATTTCTAGTCTCGAAAACCAATACTCCACCGCTATCCTCATTACAGACAGATGTTCCTGCAATACAAATAATAATTGCAAGGTAAAGCATTTGAATATGTTCATTTTCCTTTATTAATTTTGATTCGTTAGAAGCCATTCGTTTAGCTAGCACAAAATTTATCCATCGCTATAAACTTTGTAGCTTCAACACGGTTTTTTGAAGATTTGCATTGATCACGAGGAACATAGGGCAATGATACTGATTGCAGAAAAAAACTGCATTATCCTTCAGTGGTTCTTCCAAATCCTGAAACTAACCATATTCCAGACTCAAATAAATTACAATTTAAACACGCTAGCTGGTACTAACCAAAATGACAATACAAATGGCCTTTCGATTTCCAAGATTTCCAATGTCATTAGTTTGATTTTCTTTGTAGTCCACAGAACTATAAGGAGCGTCAATGTCTTTAACTGAAAAAAAAATATATTATCAACTTTTTCTGTAATTAATGTATTACTAGCCTAAACACAATTTCCGATTGAAATATTTGATTTTATGTTAATAAAAATTATTTCCTAGTTTCCATACTTTGGCCTTTTTAACGAATGTCTCATCACCGAAGTCAAATTCATAATCACGATAAATGTTTCCAGTTGCCACGAAATACTTATTTAAGTTCTCTATCCTTCGATTCGTTTCGTAGTAGATGCAAAGTGCTAGGCGAAGAAGAATGTAAAGAACATCGTAATCGTTGTGCTTTTCTATGACATGCATTGCTACATATAATTTGATCTTCTTGTTTAGATTAAAAATTTCTATATTTCTGATAATTCTGGCTACAATTTAACAATAAGATTGTTCCAGACATCACAGAAGATTTGCAAGATACCCGTTGACCATTTAATGTACAGTCAGCGTCCATTAATGCTGAAGCCAATGATTTTTAACGAATTCCTAAAATAATATAAGAATCATTAAGAAAATAATTAAAAAGTAAATAATTGTCGTAATAAAACTAAAGTTCCTATTTTTACCAATACAAACTGGAATATTTGACCAATTTCCTTCTCGATCACAAAATATATTACCAGAACCGCTTATCTGGTAGTAGAGATTACAGGTGTAAATTAAATGAGACAAGGCTGGTAATTTTGAACCCTCCTGCACGTCACAATGGCTTTTTTGCGATTGGCATTGCAACTTATACGATTGCCGATAATTATTTCCTTGCTGGGGAGGTACTATTCAAATATTTGCTTGTATTGTCACACTTGTAGCAGAAATGGACAATAAGAAATCTGTGAAATAAAAGCAAAAGTTTTACTATTTGATCATTTATCAACTAAGTATACCATTCAAGACCACAACTTTTTTCGAACACAGTTCCCAGGAGCAATTTTTTTTCTTTAAATTGTTCATTTTTAATAAAAATATTGGCTTACTATGGAAATCCCTCGAATCGTAAGTGAATTCGCACAAACAAGTTGATTGCACACCATGTGTGCAGCTCGATTCTCAGAAAATGTTTATTACGAGGAGCAGGTAAAACACCATTTGTGCAATGTAAGTAGTTAAATAATATAAAATCATTAATATGCTTTCAATAATAAAGAACAGAATATAATAAAAAGAAAATTTTATAAGAAATAGTAAAAAGTCCAAAAAAAAAAAAAAGAAACTAGTAGAATAATGAAGAAAATAATATAAATGAAAAAGAAAATTTTAGAAAAAAGTCTAAAGTTAATAAAGTAAAATGTAACTTACGTAATGAAAAAGAAAATATAATTTGTAAATAGATTGTTAGAAAATAGTACACTGATTGTAAAGTAAAAAATTGCATTAAAATTTTTAAAAAGGTAGATTTCGATAATCTAAACAAAAATTTTTTTTGTCTTGGTATGCATGAAAATCAATGCTAAATTTTGTTTTTCTATATTTTAAAGATAGTATTTACAAGAAAAATGTCTTATCTCGGCGACTACTTTACTCATAATAACTGATAATAATTCATTATTATTATTGCAAATACGATGTGCAAGTGGTTTCGAATGTGGTATTCTACAAAAATCATGAAGAACAAATAAAAGTATTTTAAAAATTGAAAAGGTGTTTTTCTATTTGCTCGTAAGTTAACGCGTAAGTCACGAGTTGAATATTACAGTTTGCAATTGATCTTATCATGATACTTGTTTTCTTCGTT